CCACCTCCACCACCAGCACCACCTCCACCTCCACCACCAGCACCACCTCCACCACCAGCACCACCACCAGCACCAGCACCACCACCACCACTACCTTTTTCATTTCTCTTGGGTTTATAGTTAGGAGTGGAATTTATGGGTCAAATGGTAACTGTGTTTATATATTACTTTTGAAAAAAATCATCTTAATAGCTTTGTACATTTGTTACCTAATTAGAGCTAAATTAAGAACTAGGGAACAGAAACCTAGCCCTGTTGGGGTATTTCTGCCGCTCCCGTCTTCACTCTGTTTGTGAGTTCTGAATGGCTGTCCCTATCATCTGTGTTGCTGGAAAGGGGACTCAGTGTGTGACCCCACTGTAGGCCCTGTCCTCGCCTAGCGGGTGGCAGTTGAGTTGACAGGAGGTCAGGGGGCGTGTGTGCTGCTGAGTTTCCCCAGCAAGTGCTGGCTTGAGGTCTAGGTTTATTTTATTTTATTTTTTTTATTTGTTTTTTTTCTATAATTATATTTTATTAATTTTCATAAACATTTACAGAGATTTTGGGTTTCCATTCATTCATTGTTGCACTATTCTCTCTACCCTCCTCCCAGTTTGTTCTTGTCCAAATGCCACAGTGCTTGTCAAAGCCAGTTCTGATTAATCTTCTTTGTCAGTGTGTCCTTTGCCATTCCCTATCACTCCTCCCTGAGAGAGACTTCACCCTGAGTCATAAGGAAAAGGGGATGGCGTATTCTCTTAGCTACTTCCTGCTGAAAAGGGACGCTGTGGGTTTCAGGGTGAAGATCTTCTCTCACTACTCTAAAGGGCCCCTTTGGCAGTAGGAAACACATAGACTATTATGGAGATTGATTTTGGAATTTAGATGCACTCTTATTGATTGTGCTTGGCCGTACATGTTCATATCCTTGAAGATGTATCATGGGGGTGTTGCAACCTAGAAGACACAAATTTGACTAACAAGTTATAAGTACATGAGTCCAAAAATTATGGAAAAGTAAAAGAAAAGATTCTTTCATTGTTTTACAAACCCTCCCCCAGGTCCCCTCCACCATGTAGCCCTCGCTCTAGTCTCCTGTGATGACAGAAATGCCTAGTTATATATCTCTTTTAAACAGTTTTCTCCCTCCTCTGTTTCAGTGCAGTATACATTATTGAACCCATCTTACTCAGTCTCTCCCCAACCCCAAGGACAGTCCCATTCTACAACAGTGGCATCATGTAATATTTGTCCTTTTGTGACTGGGATATTTCACTCAGCATAATGTTCTCCAGAGTCAACCATTTTGAATAATATTGCATGAGTTCCTTGTTTTTTAATGCAGCATAGTATTCCATTGTGCGAATATACCATAGCTTCTCTAGCCATTCGTTTGTTGATGGGCACTTAGGTTGTTTCCAACTCCTTGCTATTGTGAACAAAGCTGCAATAAACATGGGTGTGCATATATCTGCGTGGATGTCAGCTAGAGGTCTAGGTTTAAGGAGGGCTGGGGAGGGTCGGTGAGCCCTGCGCCACAGGACCAGGGCAGGGTTCCCTCAGCCCACCACACCCCACCTGGCACAGCCCCATGTCTCCACTTACACCTGTCCTTCTTGCAGGGTGGAAATCCCAACCAGGATGCGGGTGGAATGCTGGGCCTTCAACTTCAGCGAGTTGATCCGTGACCCCAAGGGCCGCCAGAGCTTCCAGTACTTTCTCAAGAAGGAATTCAGCGGTGGGTCTTTTCTGGGAAATGCATCTTCCTAACTAGTGGGTCTGGGGATTTCTGTACAGCTGTTCTCACAGCTTGGCACTGACTCTCCTGGGCAGGTGCTTCCTCTTCCAACTTAATGACCTGGAGCCCATCCTTGTGGGTTCACAGGGGCCCCCACAGGCTGGGGAGAATCACATCTGCTCTGCAGTCGTGCTTGGGTGTTACTCACATGTCCCAAGCCCCATTTCCTCTGCAAGGAGCCCTAGAGGCACTGTGTGGAATATATCAAGCTGTTAACCTAAAGGCTGGCTGTTCGAATCCACCAGGAGAGGGATGGACAATCTCCTCCTGGAAATCCAGAGCAGAGTATCAGCTTGGTCCTCAGACTACCAGCAGAGAGCACTCACCACTCCTGTGCCCCCTTTCCCCCCAGTGCAAATCCTCAGAAGTGGGGAGCAGGCAAACTCCGCCTTTCACCTCGCAGACTGATCACCTTCAGCTCAGGGGTGTTCTTTTGGGAATTTTTTAAAAACAAGTGTTTGCCTGCCCGCCCCGAGGTCTTTAGTGAATTGATCTGGGATTGGAGCGAGGAGCACAGGTGGTGGCGCAGTAGTTTAACCATCAGGACTGCTAATCCAAGGGTCAGCCGCTCAGCCCATGAGCTGCTCCGCCAGAGGCAGATGAGGCCGCTTGCCTCTGTGAGGACCTGCGACCTCAGGACCCTGATGAGGTCCCGAGTCTGCTCTGTCTTCTGGGGTGATATGAGTCCGCATCCACTCAGGGGCAGTGGGTTTCAGGGGCTGGAGTTGAGGTTTTGAAAGTGCCATAGGTTATTCAAGAGCCACTGCTGTAGCCTATTATTTTGATTTTTAGCAAGCCGTAGATAAAGAAAAGCCCCCAAACCCCGTTCCCTTTCTATAGATACAGACCCAGGAAGCCATGCTTGGCTGTCACTCACCCGCTTACTCATTGCTGTCATGTCGGGACCGACACATACCAGACCCCCAGCAGGGTTTCAGAGGTTGTAAATCCCACGGGAGGAGACTGCCCACCTTTCTCCCTCTATGCGGCTCTCTCACGACTTATTAACTCATTAGCTGATGGACGTTGGAGCTATTCTAACTTTATCCTATAAGCACGTAAGCACATTTTTGTGTGCTGTCTTTATTTTAACCCTGATTTCTTCCAGGACCTTGGGGATGTGAGACTCATAATATATGTGTCAGATCACATTTTATATTCCAACTCTGGATGTCTCATTATTAAGGGCATTTCTGAATGTGAACCCCAAACCAGGAGGTCAAATAAGACTAGGTTCATGAGGCTGCACGTTTGATTGACTTCACCATTGTCGCTGAAAGAGTTACCTTTATGCAATGTGTTCGCTTCTCCACGAACTCCCCAAACTCGGGGAACATAGAGTTTTAAGCCTTGATGTTCAAGCCAACTTATTGACCTAGACCTACCTTTTCTGTGGGGTTGCTTCTGAAACGGATTCTGCTTGACATTCCATTAGCTAGTTTGACCGCTTGCAGCACAGTATTACATTATGACATGGATTGTTGAAAATCCTCCTCCCTAGTGAAGCCTAATTGCCACCATAGAACAAGACCCAGAAGAGAGGATGGAACAGAATGAGCTACAAATGGATAGATTGCCATCTAGTGTCCAAGTGGTAAACTGCAGCCTGTGTTTGTCACCTTAGTGACAAGCTGTTTGTTGTTGTTGTTATGTGCCGTGGAGTCGTTTGCGACTCATAGCGACCCTATGTACAACAGCCCTAAACCCTGATCTATCCTGTGCCAATCGCACTGTATCTGACACTCCCATCCCGATTACCCCAGTCACTGAATCAATCCACCTCATAGAGGGTCTTCCCCTGTCCCTCCACTCTACCCAGCATCATGTCCCTCTCTAAAGACCTGTCTCTCCTTACCACATGTCCAAAGTATGTCAGGCAAAGCCCCAGAATCCTTGCCTCCAAGGAGCAGCCTGGTTTAACCCTCTCCAGGATGAATCTGTTTGTTTTCTTGGCAGTCCATGGTACGTTCAATACTCTTCTCCAGCACCACAGTTCAAAGGCATCAATTCTCCTTCTGTCCTCAGCAGTTGCAAATAAATTCACTCCAAGTAGGGGTGACCCCGTGTGTGTCAGAGTAGAACTGTGCACCACAGGATTTTCAATGGCTGGTTTTCAGGAGTAGACCAACAGGCTTTCTTTGAAAGTGCCTCTGGGTAGACTTGAACCTACAGTCTTTTGGTTAGTAGCCAAATGTATTAACCCTTCGCACCACCTAGGGACTCTGGGTCCCACTCACATGTTCTTTAATAAACCAGGGACATAATTTTGGGTATGAACAAGGCAAGTAAATCACCAGCTTAACAATATCATTGAAAATGTAAAAGCATTTCCTTTCATGTGTAAGATATAATTCTCGTATGAAGAAATCAATGATTTCCCCCCTTTTAAATTATTAATTTTAATGAAAGTTTACAGAGACTTTGAATTTCTATTCATTCATTGTTGCACTTTTCTCCCTGCCTCCCCCAGTTCACTCTTTTCCTTGGAAAGTAAAAGAAAAATTCTTTCATTGTTATGCAACCCCTCCTCCCAAGTATATAGTTGAGTGGTTTTTGATACAGTCACAAAGTTGGGCAACCTTGTACATCCTCAGTCCCGAACGTTTTAATCACCCTCAGAAGAACTCTGCGTCTGTCTCTGACCCGTAGCTGAGGCCACCGTAGTGTACCTTCTGTCCCTGTAGTTTGGTCTGTGCAGAAGGTCTTGGTTTCATTTTAACCCGAAGCAAACAAACAAACAAACAAATGTCTTCTGCTGTGGACAAGGTGACCTGCACTGCACTTCTTTGCACAAGGTGACAGCACTTGACGTGCTGGCTGCTGGCTCACACCAGGGATCTCATCTGTGTGAACACCCTGAAGTTCATGGTGAAGTGGAAGCGCCTTTATGGCGTTATGGAAGGATGCCAGCTGGTTTGGAATTGCCCAGCTTGCTCGAGTCTGACATACACGTCACTTCCCCTCAATCTTGTGGTTCCTGTTCTCGACCAGTATCTTGTCTAACTTCCATCTGTTTATTGGGGGGTTTTTACAGAAGGAACAGTATTTCCCTGGCCGGGGAATCGGACCTGCCCTAGCTGACCCTTGTATTTCCTCTTTTCTTCTCCCCACGTGTTTCCTGTCTGGCGTTCATCTGTGTGGACCCCTCCTTCCCTGTGCAGGGGAGAATCTGGGCTTCTGGGAAGCCTGCGAGGACCTCAAGTACGGAGATCAGTCCAAGGTCAAGGAGAAGGCCGAGGAGATCTACAAGTGAGGATCTGCCAGCTGGCTGGGAGCTGCCCCTTCTGCCCTCTTGGTTTTGTCTGAGGGTGGAGGTGGAGGTGGGGTTACCATTCCTGGGTGGTCAGCTGAGGATTTGCAGCCCTGGTCATTGGCTGGCCAGGCTAGAAAAACCTGCTTTGGGAAGGTTTGGGGGTTTCCTCTGAAGAAAGCCTGGTGAGACATGGCCTTTTGATGGTCTTTGTGCAATGCTCCGTGTTGGACCAACCCTGTTCACACATTGAAGGAAGAGCTTGTATTCTCACCTGCTCTCCTGCATAGCGTCTCCTGTGCTCTCTTGCAAAATGTGACCACCTCCTGCCCCAAGGTGGGGGCTTAGCCCAGCTAGAGAGAAGGGGTGAAGGGGACTCTGTGGGCCCCAGATGATCCCCAGACTTGCTTCCCCAGCATAACAGATGCCAGACTCCCCTATTCACAAAGACACACACACACACACACACACACACACACACACGCGCGCACACACACACACACATCCCAATCCAGAAGTCTGCTGCAGGGAGCGTGTTGCCTCCATGTCTGCTTCACCTTCCTTCCTGTTTGGGCTCCCTGGTTACGCAAATCTCCTTATGAATTCTCCAAAGTTTTGTGTTTGTCTTTGGAGGGTGGGAAAGTACCCATGTGACTATTTTGAATCTCCAGGAAGTCAGAACTGAAAATACCAGGAGTTTCCAAGTGGCTGGCATCTCAGGAGAGGCAAGGATTCGGGAAGGGGGCTGGTTCTACTTGGGGGCGTTGGCCTGGACGCGTGAACTTGCACGTGTTGGGATGATGACACGCCTCCCACGTTAGTATTTCAGACCTGTCACTACGTGTCCTTGGACTCGGACCTGGGTGGGTCCAAGGAGAAGTGGAGACCTGGAACACCTGTCTGGAGTTGTGCTAGCCTAGTACAAAGTCGGAGGTGGGGGGGCTGGACCTTGGGTAAGTGGGGACCTGAAGGTAGTAGGCTGGAGTTTTCACCATGTCGTTTGGCTGTAGGGAACTCAGATGGCCTAATGATAAAAGAAGTTTCACTGTCAACCCTTAGTTAGGCAGTTCAAATCTAACAACTGTTCCATGGGAGAAAGATGTGCAGTCTCCTCTTGTGCAATTTATATCCTCTGAAAACCCACTGGAGGCAGCTTATGAGTCAGTTCTGATGCTATGACAATGAGTTGTGTATCTGTTTCCATGCTGGGATTACCTCACCTCTTCACACTTTGTCCTATATGTTGAGAGCATCAAAATGAAAATTCTCCCTCTCTTTCTTTCCCACCGCCTCCACACCCCCTCAATATTAGCACGGCTGCTTTCTTGCTTTTAAGAAAAGCTATTTGACATCTTGTAGACTTTTTACCACCACTGCTAATTGTCATTGAGTCAACTAAGACTTATGGTGATTCCACATGTGTTCATAGTAAGTTGCCAGGTCTTTCTTCTGAGGCACCTCTCGGTGGACTCGAACCTTGAACCTTCTGGTTAACAGTCAAACATACCATTTGCAAAATCTCTTATGTCTCCTGAGAAGGAACCTAACATTGGTTACCTGGGCCCTGGCTACCAAGCGATTAAAACGTCCTTATTAACCAACTTGGGTTTAGCTGCCCTTACTATTATCTTCCGCCCCAGGCTGTTCCTGGCCCCAGGGGCGAGGCGCTGGATAAATATAGATGGGAAGACCATGGACATCACGGTGAAGGGGCTGAGGCACCCCCACCGCTACGTGCTGGATGCGGCACAGACCCACATCTATATGCTCATGAAGAAGGTAGGTCGAAGCTGTGCTGAGCATACCTGTGTGTCAGGAGGCCTTTCCCTTCCCAGCGGCCTGGGAACTTCTATAGATTCAGAATAACAAAAAAGTGGCATCTGGCTGTCTCTTTTCTGTGCTGGGACACAGAACTGTGTGTGACCTGTGTCACCATCTATGAGGCTGGCACCTCCCGGAGCCCTGTGGCTCTCGGGCCGGGGAGGACCACCTGTGGACAGCACTTCCATTCTCCCTGCAGTGATGGTGCAGGGAGTAGTCATAATGGTGGCACGGAAGCTAAGCACTTGATTGCTGACTGTATGGTCAGCAGTTCCAATCCAACGGATACTGCTGGGGAGAAAGACGGACAGTGTGCTTCCCTAAAGATGGCAGCCTTGGAAACCCTGGGGGGCGTTCTCTGTCCAGTCAGGGTCATTAGGATCCAGATCAAAGCCATGGCCATGGGATTTTTGGGGATAGTTGTGAATGGTAGTTGCTGATGCCAGCTTGTGGTGACCCCATGGTCAGCATGGCCCCATCTTTGTTTGAGTCCATGTTACAGGGTTGTGTTTTTTTAGGTTCTTCTGGGTGGGCTTACCATTCAGGGCTTAGCTGTCTGCCCCACCAAGAGCAGATAGTTTTGGGTTCAGCAGGTGGGCGCAAGAATATGTGTTTCTAAGGAATTCGAGGGTGAGACTAAGTCTCCTTGCTAAGAGGCTAGTGATTGGCTACTGTGCTGTTGTTGTTGTTATGTGCTGTCAAGTCACCCGCGACTCATAGCGACCTTATGTACAACAGCCCTAAACTCTGCTCTGTCCTGTGCCAATCACACTGTCTCTGACACACCCATCCCGATTACCCCAGTCACTGAATCAATCCACCTCATAGAGGGCCTTCGCCTCCTGCGCTGTCCCTCCACCCTTCCAAGCATGATGTCCCTCCCCAAGGACCTGTCCCTCCTTACAATATGCCCAAAGTATGTCAGACAAAGCTTCAGCATCCTTGCCTCCAAGGAGCAGCCTGGCTTCACCCTCTCCAGGATGAACTTATTTGTTCTCCTAGCAGTCCATGGTATATTCAGTACTCTCCTCCAGCAAGACAGCGCAAAGGCATCAGTTCTCCCTCTCTCATCCCTAGTCATTGTCCAGCTCTCTGATGCATAACAAGTAATGACAAAGACCATGGTCTGTGTCAGGCGCACTTTAGTCTCCAGGCTGACATCGTTGCTCTTCAGCACTTTGGAGTGGTCTCTGACAGCGGACTTTCCCAATGTAATTCTTTTTAATTTCCTGGCTGCTGGTACCAAGACTACTATAGCTCTGTATAAATGCCATCCCCAGCACGAGCTCCCTTTTCTGCCTTTAATTTGACACTTTCCCTCTCATAATTATTGTTTTTTTCTTTGGTTCCCACTAGGATTCTTATGCTCGCTACTTAAAATCTCCCATCTATAAAGGAATGCTGGCCAGGGCTATTGAGCCTCAAGAAACCACCAAGAAAAGGCAAGTGGTGTGGTCTGTAATTATGGGCTGTCTGCTGGCTGGTCAACAAAGCGGGGGTGGGTTGTATTCATTCAAATGACCATCATTGAGATCTTTGCTGATTAAAATCTCTCTGGGGGCACTGGGTGGGATTGCTTGCTTGGGAAATGTCTGCCTCATTTGCTTCACAATGCCCCCAAATCCGCCAGCAAGGCTTCCTGAGTCACGTCTGCCAATGACTTTCCTTTCTCTGATGCTCGTTTGAAAGCCTTTGGATAAGCAGATGGATAATTACTCTTATCGCCAAGGCAAACATCTCATTGGCTGTTAATTGCTTCCCTTCTCTACTTCCAGCGGAAACATAGAAATTGATTTCATTCCATCCCTGCATCTCTGTAATGACCCGGAGGAGCCTTCCGGAGAGGAGCAGATGGCACCCCAAGGGGAAATGCCAGGCGGCTGGGGGAAATGGGCAGGGGTGTCCCAGAGACTCAGTCCTCGCTGCCTCCCCGTCCCTGTTCCAGCGAGGCTGGTGACTGGCCCCCTCTCTCTCCTCACTGGAGAGATGGGTCATCTCATTTTTTTCAGAGTTGCTGAGATAATATTGTGTTCTGAGGGGCAGCTTGAACTCCTTTTGGGAAAAGAACCAACAAGCCCAGACTCCATGGGGATGGAAGGGCCATGAGAGTAAGCCGAGGACAGAAAGAACAGAGACAGGGGACTGTCCTCATGGCACTGCCGTGTGTCCTGGTCTCTCGGCCCTGTTTACAGCGTCTCCAATTAAGTTAGGGAGAGGATGGTTGGACCAGAGCCTTTATCAAAGGGTCTTAAAAATTAAAAAAATAAAAAGCTCAATTTGGTTTTATCCTTGAGGATAACTGTCCTGTTACAAAAAAGGAGAAAAAAGCAGGCTTTCTGAGCACGTTCTAGAAGATCTGGACTTGGAAGTGTCTCCCTTCTGCTACAAGGAAGAGCCCCAACCACTCCCGACCCCCAATGCAAAGAGGAGGTACAGGAAAGAGAGGCTGGTCAGGCTGGTCCTTCCCTGTCCAGATAGGCCATGTGGGCGTTCAGAGGGGGTCTTCCCACCTGCTGTGGCCATGGACCCTGGAGGAATGCTCACCTCTGGTGGGGGACATTACAGTCTGTTACTGGTGTCGCTTGGGGGTGGACCTCCCAGATGTCAGTGGGGATGAGCTTGTTCCCTGACCCGCAGATGTAAGATGATGTGTAAAATCTAACTTTTCCAGGAAAGGTAAACTCGAGCTCCAAGCTCCCTCTTGGTGGGACTGGTGAGTGACCAAGTACTTTGGTGCTGGCGGGGAACCTTTCTCATTCCCTGGAAGTTCTAGGGGGCTTATGAAGTATGAAAGGGGCCATGGTGGGACAGTGGATTAAATATGGGGCTAGCTCTGGTGGCCTAGTGTCAAGAAGCTGCACTGCAATCTTGAAGGCACTGTGGTTCGAGGCCACCAGCTGCTCCATGGGAGAAGGATGGACAGTCTCCTCCTGTGTGATTTACTGCCTCTGAAAACCCACCAGAGGGTCAGCTATGGTTTGGTTCCAACTTTACGGTACACAACAACAACAACAAATGAAAGGTTGGCAGTTTGAGTCCAGCATCTGCTCCCTGGGAGAAATATGGCGGCAGTCTGCTTCCGGAAAAGGTTCACAGTCCGGGAAACCCCGGGGGCAGGTCCACTGTGTCCTACAGGGTCACTGTGAGTGGCCAACTTGATGGCAGCGGTTACCTTGTCCGCAGATCTGGTGTCGGTCCAGGGTCCTCAGTCTGCTGTTGCTGCTTGTTTATCAAGCCTGTGGTACCCTCAAAAGTGAGGGGTTGTGCTGTCGACACCCTCTGTGAAACTTAGACACCCAGAACTTCCTTCCACGGCCGTGGTAGGGAGAAGACGGACCCAGGAACCTGTGTTTGTTTCCAGCCAGAGGTTGTGCCCCATCCAGGGGCCGGGTGAGCGGGGTCTAGTCCAGCCACCACCCTCCTTCAGGTCCTTCTCTCTGAAGGGACCCTTCCTTCTGAAGCTTTAGAGATAAAGGTTCCAGCTCTGTCCTGAGACAAGAATCCCAGGCTCCCAAAACACGATTCTCCATCCCGTCTGTCCTTGTTGCTCTCTAAATACCGCAGGAGGTATGTCTGCACCTCACCCCCAGGAGAGTCCTAACCTAACCTGCTAGTAACCGGACCCAGTTGAGAAGATTCCAGCTCAGGGCGACCTGCGTGTGTCAGAGGGGAATTGTGCGCCACAGTTTTCAGAAGTAGCTTGTCAGGCTGTTCTTCTGAGGTGCCTCAGACCCCCATCCCTTTTGGTTAACGGCTGACTGAGGGCATCATCATCTGTAGCACTGCGGGCGTTCTACCTAACCTCATGGAAAAATCTAATGGCCATTGGTATTCACTGTGGCCACTTTCTCCAGATAGGGCACAGAGCCAGGGCTGGACATGAGCATTAGAGGGGCCCACTTGAGGCTCTCCTGGTGAATAAAGGAACAGTTTGGGGTCTGTCCTCCCAGCCCTGCCTCACCAGGAGTCACTGAGCTGTTGAGCAAGCATTGGTCCTCCCGCTGACCATCAGTCCTGTCCTTCCATCAGTCCCCCCGCTGACCATCAGTCCTGTCCTTCCATCAGTCCCCCCGCTGACCATCAGTCCTGTCCTTCCACTGAGCCCCCCACTGACCATCTGTCCTGTCCTTCCATCGGTCCCCCCGCTGACCATCTGTCCTGTCCTTCCATCGGTCCCCCCGCTGACCATCAGTCCTGTCCTTCCATCGGTCCCCCCACTGACCATCAGTCCTGTCCTTCCTTCCAGCGCCACCCTCCCGTTTATGCGGCGTCATCTGCGCTCCAGCCCAAGCCCCGTCATCCTGCGGCAGCTGGAAGAAGAAGCCAAGGCGAAGGAGGCAGCCAACACTGTGGACATCACCCAGGTCATGAGCAAGCTGGACCGGAGGAGCCAACTCAGAAAGGAGCTGCCTCCAAAATAAACCTCCAAGCCCCGGGTGGGGGTGGGCGTGAGCACAGACGCGAGGCAGAGACAGGATGGGTCGGAGGCTGGGGGAGTCCATTCCCCAGTCCCTGTTGGTGGGGCCATGAGGCCGGCAGGCTTATCCTGTGTTCTCTAACATCTTGCCCCCACTTCTGGGATCAACTTCTTCCCAATCCTACACCGGCTAGATCTGGGCCTGCTACTTTAGCTCACCAAGGGCGGGTCTGGTCAGTGGTGAGGGAATAGGGTGGTACCTGGCTCAGTTGGTCGTGGGTCTGTTTTTGTTTTAGGGAGTTCTTATAGAACCATAGTGGAAATAGATTGGTTTGCATACCAGAACTTGACTTGGAATTTCCAAGGAAGGCATTCCTTCGACTCCAAGGAATGTTTGTTTAGACTAATTTGATGTAACTCCTCATCTCAATGTGTCTGATTTAGACTCCGATTCTAGGAGAATTTTTGAGATCCTTCCAAGGAGGAGTCCGTGGGGCTCCCTACAGCTGCATTTTCTCTGATCCCTGCTGTCCTTGCTAAGACATTGCTACTGTTGAGCTTGGTTTTAGTGACACCCACTGATGGTCGGTGGGCCCTCACGTGCTTTCCTCCCTAACCCTTATGCAGCTGGTAGAAGTGAAGAACTCAGGTGTAAAACCTCCATAGTGGTCAGAATTAACAGTCCTGTAAGGGACAGCCCATAGGCATTGATGTCTTCATTGAGAAGATTCAGAAGAAGCAGTAGGCATCAGTGACATTTTCGACATGAGTTAGACATGGAGATGTTCCCTCTTTGCCAGTGCTTTGTTGGTGATGTTTCCTTTCTTCAGTGTTCCCTAGATGTTGGTACTCTCCTCTTCAGCACCTGCAGCCCAGGGATGAGCCCTTACAAAGCAGAAGTAGAGGGAGAGGAGAGTACAAACTTTAACCTTGGTCGACCTGCAAAGTCATTCTCAAAGTTAGCCCCACAAAATTGTGTATAGAGATAGAACAGGGAATTGAGCCAAAAAAAATCAACCTGTCTCAGCAGGGAGAGCCATGCATTGTTCACACAGAGCCGTGCATTGTTCACACATATTTAGCACCGGCTATGAGCCAGGGAATGGGAAATACTACAGACACAGTCTCTGTCCTTGTAGAGTTTAGAGTCAAGGATGTCCAGGTGACAATCTAGCCAACTGAACCAGCCGGCTGCTGCTGTATAATGACAACAACTAAAACCAACTAGGAAACAACAGTGTCACACAAGAAGCATTGTTGTTTGTAGCTATAGCATCAAGTTGGAGTCTCTGTTGGTCTTGGCTGGGCTCACTCACACGCCTGGGGGCTGGCCCCTAGTGACTGCTCTGTGGTGGTGGAGGTTCAAGTAAGTGTGACAGTTCTATTGTATCTTGTGTGTCTCTTGTCCCTGACAAGGTGGCCTGGCCACACTTCCATGGCCGTGGTAGAATTACAAGAGAGCAAGTGGAAACACATGGCTTCTTGAGGTCTAGGCTTGGAATGTGTCTCTTCCATATTGTTTTATGGGAAGAATCACAGAGATACCCTAGATTTAAGGGATAGGAAACTGGTCTCCATCTCTTTAGCGTGAGTAATGGCAAAGTTATATACAAAGGACGAGGAAGTGTGAAGAGCTTGGCCATTGTGGCAGTTGGCAACACAAACACATGTGTGACAAAACCTGTGGAAAGTGCTAGAAGAATATGAGTAGCATGCTGTAACAGGGAGGTTTAGGGGAGGAGAATAGATAGGTTAAGGAGCTCTCTCTGAGGAGGTGAGAAAGTGGACTGTGTGAAGAATGTGGGTGAGGTAAGGAGAGCCAAACAGACAGAGGGGGTGTAGGCACAAGGGCGAGAGAGCTTGCAGAGTGAACGGATAGACCAGTTGGATGGAACCTGATAAAGGATTAGACTGAGGTACAAGATGAAGTTAGAGAGGTGGACAGGCACCAGGTCCTTGAGGACTGGAAGACTAGTCTAAGGAATCTGTGGCCATTGACTTCATGTTATAAAAATGATGCCAACCCCAAATATGGAAGCTTAATTTCCTGAATTTCAGTATAGCCCGAGACTAGTTTATAAAGAATACGTTCATCCCTCCTTTGAAGAATGTTGAAGTCCCTCAACTCTGGAAGGTACAACGAGCAGATATTTCAGATTATGAGAGCCATTGTAGACCCAGTGGCATGAAGCAAGTTTCCATGAACCTCACTCTTCAGTCTAATGCCTGATATCTGGCAAGTTCTCCATAAACGTGTATTATCTGTATTCATGAATGAAAGAATGAGTAGAAGGTACCCTGGATTTGGATAAGGTCTACTTGGCCTGGCCCTACCCCTGGTCATATTTTCTTGAGAAAGTCACTGAATCTTTCAGCTTCTTCATTTATAAAAAGCCCGAGAGGCTTAGGGTGAGACGCACCCTTCTCAAATGGACTTTATGAATTCTGCAGAGCACCCAGCCCATGGCATCACTTTCACTTGAAGAATTGGAATGGGAGGAAAGTTAGGTAATTTTTTTAAAGTTCATGCTAAAATAATCATGAATATATTATGAAATAGAATGCAAAATGCCCATGAATTTTTTACGATAAAATTTGAGACATCAAAGACATTGTGTGCTTGGCTGTGGCAGGTTCAGGCTTGGTCTTCAGATTCCTGGGGGAGCCTGTTTACTCAGCTTTCCTGCTGTTTGGCCTACTTTAGCGAGGAAATTTGGGAAGCGTGAAGCCAGAGAATAGTTGCTCTCCCTTCCTTCCATCCCACGTGAGCTGAGATCATATACCTAGGAAAATGGTGGTGAATGGTGAATACATTTTGTATTATATTTACTAATTAATCTTTTGTTCAGCCTCCCATCACCTAGTTCTTCCTGTACGTCCCGAGTATGTGTCTGGCATACGATAGGTTTTTCCATGTTTTTATGAAACACGTACCTAATACCAGGCACATGAAGATGCCACAATCTAGTGGCAGAAACAAGTGTGTAAACAACAGACGTCATTCTCTATTGACAACTAGCAAGTCAAGAAAAGGAAGAGGAGACAGACTGATCTTAGGGTTCAGTTGTGTGATGAAACAAAACGCTCGAGTTCTTGACTGTGATTCTCACTCCATCTCCGGCCCCCAGTTGAAAATGCGATTCTAGATTGTTTTCAAATTCTGGAAAGGGAATTCCTTCAGATGGGTCCATTCACCAGGAAGTGGATGTGGACGCTGTGAGGGTGGTCAAGAACTCAAAGGAGGAAAGGGAGACAGGGCAAGAGAGGGCTAAGTGAAATGCTGGCAAAGCCGTATTTAAAGACTCAAGAGAACAGAGAACGAAGGGTGGAGAGGGACAGCTGTTAAGGGTCTCTCTGAAGAAGTGATGGAGGAACTGACAATATGGTGGTGAAGACGGTTGAAGTTCATTACTATTCTGTACATACCATCCCGTTTCCCAGACTCCTGTGCTGCTAGATTAGGGCCATGTGACTGGTCTTGGCCAATGTACTATCCAGAGCCTGGTGAGCAACCTTGTCTTTCCCTTCCCCTAGTGTGGTGACTCTGGTGTGCGCACTTCTGGCACCAGCACCACCACAAGGTGGGGAAAGCCATCTGGCCCCTCCCATTGTACTTCCGTGAACAATGTTCCCTAGACGAGAGGAGGAGGTCCAAGAGGAGTCATGGAAACATAGCTCTTCCTGTCCTGAGTAATGAAATGTCAAAGGTTGTAGGAGTTGAGGCGAGTTCTAGTGGCCTAGTGGCAAGAAGCGGCACTGCAATATCCCAGAGGTACACACACACACACACACACACACACACACACACGTTGTAGGAGTTGTTAGCGAATGAGGACTAAGCCAGCCAACTGCATTTAGAAGAGAGGAAATCACTGGTGATCTTTGCATGGTTTCTGTGACGTAAGGAGTGTAGAAGCCAAATTTCTCGGGGCTGAATGAAGGTGCAGGGCCAATGGGAGAAGGGAGAGCGGGGACTGGCGGGAAGCACCCCGTATACTGCATGCCACCCAGAATGCTGCCTTCTCCTCCCTGGTCTGCTCCCGGGAAGCATGTGTCCAGGGTGGTCACAGGTGCCCCCACCGTCGTGTGTCCAGCGTGGTCACAGGTGCCCCCACCGTCGTGTGTCCGGGGTGGTCACAGGTGCCCCCACCGTCGTGTGTCCGGGGTGGTCACAGGTGCCCCCACCGTCG